CTGGCTTTTTCAATACGAGTTTTTATTTCGTAGCTTTGATCCCAAGTATCTTTAATATTGCAGCCCAAATAACATATTTTTTCCACTCTTTTAACGGTGTATTGTTCTTGTAATTTGGGCGTTTATACCGGCAGTAGCGCACCTAGAATTGTCTTCTGAGGGGGTTTTGGTTGGGCACCGAAATTTTTTTATGCTACCTCCACCATTTTAAGTCCTTAAAATTTGTAAGTAACAGTGTCCGAATAGGGTCCTTGGAGGGGGGGTTTGACCCCCAAAACCCCCCTGGGTGCGCCACTGGATACCGGTGTTCTTACTAATGATCATAATTTTTGTCTTCTTGCAATTTAGTTTTAGGCCGTATTTGTTACGTGTTTCTACAACGTTATCCATCATCCTTTGGAGCCCTGCGCACTATCTGCCAGCAACACTGTATCGTCTGCATATCTAATGTTGTTTATAAGTTGGCCATTTACAGCAATCCGATTTTCTGATTCGTCCAAGGCCTCTCTAAAGATATTTTCAGAGTAGTATATGTTAAATAATGCCGGTGACAATATGCAACCCTGTCTAACTCCTTTTTCGACTGTGAAGATCTCGGACAGACATGTGGGACTTTACCAAATGTCTTCTCGAAATCAATGAAACATGCATACACATCGCAGTTGACATCCCTGGCTCGGACTTACAAACTAAAAAGTGCTTCCCTCGTTTCGAGTCCTGATCTGAATCCAAATTGAACTTCACTCAGGTGTTCTTCTAATTTGGTGTATATGCGCGAGCGAATGATAGTAAGGAGTACTTTAAGTATAATGTATACGACCTGTTGACGACTGTGGTAACTTGCATTGTCCATTACTATCACACTATTTTGAGGAAGGTTAGGTATAAGACAATTCTTAAACCATTGCTCAAAAAGCTCTGCCGTTGTATCCTCATGGTAGTCCACGCAGGAGTCTTTAATGTTCTTTGCAGAAAGCCATAAGGCATTTGGGACCCAACCATTTTCTGATCCTGCATGTAAAATTGTTATTCTTTTCCCTTTGTTTGATGGAGCTTTTGTTTGACACCTGTTGGAAGAATCGGACCATCCTTTGGATGGTGTTTCATGAGTGTCAAACCATGTCTCGTCCAGATAAATTATTCGTCGATCTTCTATACGGTACTTTCTTATGGAAGTTATATATTCAGTACGCCACTTTTGTAAACGATGGGACTCCATAAGCACTTGCCTTTTGTCAATTGTACGATATCTGAAGCCCATTTTAGACAAAATCCTCCAAAGACTAATGCAGCTACAGTTTATTTGTGTATCATCATTAGTAAGCCGTTGTTTTAAAGCATCTAATGTAGGTATCCGTTGCTCTTCGTACATTGTGTAAATTTTTCGTCTTATTAAGTCCTTATCACTTTCGTCAATACGTTTGGTAGAACCGGCATCCTTACGCTTCCTTCTTGACTTAATGGGATTTGATGTAATTCTTTTCACTGTGGTTAGAGGTATTTTCGTTAAATCAGATATTTCACTGGCAGCAGTATTAGCAGTAAGTCCTCTTGTAAGTAAAGAACTATATATTGTTTTTACGATTTCTCTAGCGTCAGCAGATAAATGCTTTTTCTTTGCTGGAACACTGGAAGAAGCACCATCAATGTTTTTCCACGGACGCCACATAATGCTGTTTTATAGGTATAAATAGGTATAACACTGGTAACACTTGTAACACTTTCAACTAAATGAAACAAAATGTATATTTAAAAATTTCTCATCGGTTTTATATACTTTTACAAATTATACAGAATAGAGGGAACCTGTATAATTATTCCAGGAAATACTTAACGATCAACAAATTTATTGTGGTCATTAAAAGATCAACCATTGATAGTGAAACTCACTGTTAAAATGTTTACAACTTTATGAAATAAAATGTATTCTAATCGTTTTTATAATTTTATACGATTTTTTAATCGTTTTTATATTACCAGGAATTTATGATACAAACAAGATAACGACACTCCACAGTAGCTTCAATTTTACCTGAATACTTACCTGCTCAACTAATGTTGACTAAGCTAGGGTACTTGCGGTCGGGTTTTATTGCAATCATTAAGCACTCAACCATTTTTCGTGAAATAAACTATACATGGCTCACCAAACTAATTAATCTATGTTCTTCACATTTTCTAGCGTTGGCTTTTTTAGAAAGTGGAATGAATATTGATAGTAGCCAGTCTTTTGCTAAGTAACCAGTCTCGTAGATGTTGTTGAATAGCTTCGTAAGAGCTGTGGTTTGGTGTGACTCTAATAGCTTTAAGATTTCACCATGAACCTCAGCAGGTCCTGGCGATTCCCCATCTTTAATCCACTTAATGGCCATAGTTACTTCTTCGTCTGTTATTTCTGGGCCGTAGGGATTGTAAATCTCTATACAACGAGGAGTCAGACAAGGATGCATTTTGTCGCCAACATTGTTCAATGTTTACTCGGACCAGTTATTTAAAAAGGTACTTGAGAGACAACCATATGGAATAAAAATAAACGGGGAACCACTTAATGTGATTAAAAAAACACAGAAGTTAAAACACTTCACACATGTGCATTGTGGTATAAAAACAGGTGGTTTTTATACCACAATACACATGTGTGAAGTGTTTTAACTTCTGTGTTTTTTTAAACGATGGTATACAGCCAATTACGGGGTTTTTTCCCATTAATTTTAATGTGATTAGATATGCAGACGATACAGTAATATCAGATAATATTGAAGTCTTCAAATTCTGCTTGATCGTATTCACGAGGTAGGAGAGGAAATGGGCATTAAAATAAACTCAAACAAAACCAAATTTTTAGTGTTTAGTCGTGACCCACATCCCGATGCAAAGCTTCAATTAAACGAGTCCAAGTTGAGAAAGTTCACAAAATGACATATTTGGGAACTGTGATAACGGACCAACTAGATCCAGATATAGAAATAAAACGTAGAATAGCAATGACTAAAACTACTTTTATGAAAATGAAGTCATTTCTTTGCAATAACCATCTCAGTTTAGAACTAAGGCAAAGAATGGTTAAGTGCTATGTTTGGTCCGTACTTTTGTATAGTGCAGAAGTGTGGACGCTAAAAGTATCGATCATGAACAAAATTGAAGCATTGGAAATGTGGGTTCATAGACGAATGCTGAAGATACCTTGGACACAAGGAAAACTAATGAAGAAGTACTAAGGAGCGTCAACAAAGATAGAGAACTGCTAAAGACTGTTAAACATCGAAAAATGTCTTATCTGGGACATATAGTAAGGGGAAGTCGATATAAAATATTACAACTGATCCTTAAAGGCAAAATAGAGGGCCGTAGAGGTGTAGGAAGAAAACAATGTTCATGGTTAAAAAACATTCGTGAATGGACTTAGATACCAAATGCAGGACAATTATTCCATATTGCAGAAGATCGAGAAGCCTTCGCAATGTCGGATAATTCTGATATAGACACGCGAAGAAGAAAGAAGGGATTGTTTATTTCAGTCGGACTTCGTGCTGCATCTTCGAATAATTCTGTCATATTTTGTTTAGTTGATATCAATATTTTAACACTTAGTTCAATTATTATTTGCTGATATTCCAATAGACAAATGTAGTGCATTGGTCAATTGTCCATTGTCGTTTTGTGAGCAAGATAATCTTGTACCCTAGATATTGCGTAGTTCTAATCAAATAGCATTTGACAAAAACAGTCTACATCAGCTTACGTTAATCAAAAAAGTTATTGACGAATCTTTTTTTAATTTTAGTAGTTGCAAAATTGTTATTTTAGAATTTGTGAATTGTAACACTAAATATCCTATTTTGTAATAAAATATTGACGTTGTTTTCGTTATATTTATTCACAAATAACGTTATCACGTTTCTTAGTACGTTGTTTATAATAATGTACAAAAACAAATCTTTATCATATCGACTGACCCCCTGCAGCCAATTACTGATTGTTTAAGCTTAAGATTAAAGTAACATCGCTATAAATTGCTTGTTTAAGATAATTTATTAATATTTCATGATCTATTTTTATTATACAGGGAAATATATGAAATGTAAATGAATTTCTTGTCTGTTAAAATAATTATAATGTGCTGTACTTTCAAGCAAGAAAGAAGAAAGCATTGGAGGAAGAAGAGATTGGGATAAAAGTTAACGGCCAACCAATTAATATTATTAGATACGCAGATGATACGGTTTTAATGGCTAAGACAGTAGAAGACCTGCAAGCCATTTTAAACAAGGTAGTCACAGCTAGTGATGAGAAAGGGTTAACAATGAATGTCAAGAAGACGAAATTCATGATTAGTTCAAAAAAACAAAGATTGTTTCATGGTATTGTCGAAATACCATGAAACAAGAGAGAATGTCAAGCTTGTCTCAAATGTCAATAGAAAAAAAAAACTTTTAAAATCTCTCCAAAATAAATTTTACGATGACGTTATTACCCATTTTGCTACTTCCAAACAACGTAGACTAGAGTTAATTTATAAACATGTTTAGGTTCTAAATTTATAGGAAAAAACAAAAAAAAAAACAAAAAACAAGAAAACAAAAAATCTCCTATGATGATTGAAGTCTTTATTAGACGGTATGGTATACCTATCTGAGGAGACAAAAAATACCTTGCCGACCTTGTCTCTCAAGCCACGAGCCACCACTGATCCTATCTGTTAAGAAAGTCAAATATCTGGTCATAATACGTAATAAGTAGGTGAATCAATCACTGACTATCATCGTATGGCTGTCTTTGTTTGTCTTATGTATGGGCAGTCGGCTTAAATTCATTGATTTAGTTTCTGTGCGAAGGGAAGAAAAATAATATAAAAAAAATTCGTGAATAATGTCACACTTGTGCAAAGATCTAGCCTAGCGGATGGATTGCTTGGAGATTGAGATCTTTTACTCGGAACCACGAAGCTAGACTCCATCCTAACGTGAATGTCGAGTTAAAAAATAAATAAAACATAAAATTGCACATTTATTTATTCACTTATTTTACCTACTTTTCTTTAGACATACTCTCAAAATGCATTTGTTTAACTTTTTCATACAATGTCCACGAAATCATACCGAAAATAGTTCGTTTCAGTAACCTTGGCACGAGACCTTGAAAGTATCCATAGATGCCGTGTTCCTTCCAGATATCTGCCACTGCTTGCCACGTTGTTCGGCGTTGACTGGAAGAAAGTTGTAGGTGAGCTTTCACAACATCGGGGGGATGCGTTAGAGAGGAAGCTACCATTCCTGCTAAAGCGGCACAACTGGAATGAACTAGCGAGGGATGTGTATCACGCCAAGCTAAAAAAATATAGAAATAGTAAGTAACTGTATTGTTATCTTCTTCATTCCACGGTTTTGTTTCGGCATTATTTCGAGAGAGTCTCTCACTATAAAGTCGCAGCTTAAGGAAATAAGATTGTGTGATTGATCCATATCATATTTTGGAGCGTCAGTCACTTTAGAATCACTGCGGAATGACTCTACACGAGAAATGTACCAAAGTAGGCTAGCACAGAAGAGAAAGCTGAAACAAATAGACGACATCGAAGATATAAACGCGAGCCGGGAGAAAATTAAAAACAACATTGAAGAAGCAGCAACAAAAGCTCTAGAAAAACGTAAAGTCATACTGAATAAAAGAAACAACAACAATACACCATGGTTCAGAAAAGAAAGTAAAGAGAAATGTAAAGAGAAACACGAAGTACAAATCATCAAATACTCCAGAATACCAGAATAGCATTTACAATAAAAATAAATAATAAGAAGTCGACTACATATTGTACACCGCGACATATTAGCTTATGTCTACATCGCAAAACTCTTCCATGATAATCGCGAAAGCGCTCGCTACTAGATGGCACTCTGGAACGTTCTCGTAGCCTCGTTTTGGCTTTATATAAGCGGCGATGCGCAACGAAACCTCAGTTCGAATCCAAACAGCCCATGGTGGCGAACGCGGTGTTGAGCAATGAGTAAATATTTTACGACTTACGTATTCCCGTTTACGTATTTACGTCTACGATAAATTATAAATTATGGATAAGTTTTTAAAAAGAAGTGCAGAACCATCTACGTTTGAAAGTGGCAGTAGCAGCAATAAAAAGGAAAACAGATTCTACATTGATGAATATCTTAAATATGGTTTTACCGGTATTTCCAATAATCCACAATGTGTTATTTGTGGACAAGTCTTGTCAAAAGAAAGCATGAAGCCATCAAAGTTACTTCGACATTTAAATAGCAAACATCCAGATAAAAAAGACAAGCCCGTAGAATTCTTTGAAAGAAAGCTGAACATCCTTCACAAACAGCAAGACAGTTTTCCCTTGGCAACCACTAGTAATGAAAAAGCATTATTAGCAAGTTATAAAGTTGCTTATCGTGTTGCCAAAACTAGTAATCCGCACACAATTGCTGAAAATCTGATTTTTCCAGCAGCTGTTGAAATGGTACATATAATGTGTGGGGAAAGAGAGGCTGCAAAATTAAATACAATACCTCTGTCAAATAATACTATCCAAAGGAGAATTAGTGATATGACAGAAGATATTCATGCGCAAGTTGTGGAAAATCTTAATAAATGCACGTACTTCTCTCTTCAAATGGACGAATCCACAGATATATCTAACTGTGCCCAATTCATTACGTTTGTAAGATATGATACAAATAATGGCATTCAAGAAGATATTTTATTTTGTTCCCCATTGGAGACCAATACCACTGGAAAATGTTTACTCGACACTTTTGTGAAACGTACAAGTAAATATGATATTGACTGGGGTAAATGTATTGCTATATGCACAGATGGCGCTAAAGCTATGACAGGACATAAATCTAGTCTTGTCGTCAAATTACAAGAAATAATGCCTAATGCCAAATGGAGACATTGTTTTTTACATCGAGAAGCTCTTGCGTCCAAAGCTTTACCTCCTGAAATGGACTATATTATGAAAACCATCATTAAAGTTGTAAATTCCATTAAAGGAAAAGCTTTGCAGACCCGTATTTTTAGAAAAATTTGCGAAGACATGGGTGCTTTATTTGAAAATCTTCTCTATCACACCGAAGTAAGGTGGCTTTCAAGGGGCAACGTCTTAAAAAGAATATTTCACTTAAGAGCAGAGCTTTTAATGTATTTGAAAGATGAGAAGTTCCTATATGAAAATCAATTTTCCGATCCTATTTGGCTTCTGAAACTAGATTTCCTTGCTGATATTTTCGAGCAATTAAATATTTTGAACAGTAATTTACGAGGTCGCGACATTAATATAATTACAGCCACAGATGAAATTAAGGCGTTTCTAAGAAAAATCGATTTATGGTCGACCTCACTTGGCAAAAAACAACTCGATTCATTCCAGTGCCTTCAGGAAATTATGGAAAATGTATCCAATTACAGTGCTACACATTTTGAACAAGTTTTTGCTGGCATGCATGTTACTTTGCTTAATTTAAAACAACAGCTCTGTGATTATTTCCCCGAAGAAATTCAAAACAGTTACGACAGTTGCAGATGGATACTAAATCCATTTTTAGCCGATTCCTTTCAGCATGTTGAAATACCAATAAACATGAAAGAAAAACTTATTGAAATATCAAGTGATGGAATGTTGAAGCTCCAATTTCTTTCCCAGAATTCGGACCAATTTTGGACCGAAAAGATGCAGGAATAACCCCAGTTGGCTAGTGAAGCTGTAAAATGTTTGGTTCCATTTGTAACATCATATTTGTGTAAGATAAGTTTCTCGTCTATGACTGCCATTCAAACAAGAGTTAGAAATTATCTCGTACTTGAAAATGATATAATTGTGTGTGTCTCGAATACACAGCCTAGATTTGAAAGATTAGTTTCACAGAAACAGGCACATAACTCTCATTAAGATTATAATATTTGACTTTGTTTTACTCTTTTATGTTTTTCGGACTTTAATATTTTGTTTTATATTTCGTCTGATAATTAATTGCTAATTTCTATTTACGGCGTTGTTAAAATAAAAATACATGATCTAACAAAGTGGTGCTTTTGTCTTATTTTGGAAATGTTCGTCGACCCCCCTAGTACCTCATGGCGACCCCCACTTTGGGAACCACTGTTCTAGAACAAACAAATAAAAGCAGGTTCAACTTCAAACCTGTCTAAGTTCCACGCTGTTCGAGATTTGCAGGTAACTGAATCTAAAAACGAAGAAAAGAAAAGAAAAAGAAGAAAAGTAAGAGTAAGTAAGAATTTAGTCTAAATGATAAGCTCGTATTGTCAAGATGTCAAGTAATATATAAATGTATTATAAATTTTTGTGTATTTAAAAAAAAAAGAAATTTGTTTTTTAAATACATATATCTTGGACACGAAATAAAGATCACAAGAGACAACCAAACATGCGAACTACGAAGAAGAATAAACCTAGTATGGGCAGCCTATGGAAAACTCAAAGACATCTTTAAAAGCGATATACCAATTTCTTTGAAACGTAAAACATTTGACCAATGTGGGTTGCCTGTGATGACCTATGGTGCCGAAACTTTGACATTGACAGCTACAAGTTCTAAAACGCTGCAAATAGCTCAGAGGAAAATGGAAAGATCAATGCTGAGTATATCGCTTCGTGACCGAGTTAGAAATGAAGACTTAAGACGAAGAACAGGAGTGACCGATGTAATTTCCCGAATTGCCACACTGAAATGGAACTGGGCCGGACACGTCGCCCGAATCAGTGATGAAAGGTGGAAGAAGAGATTGCTTGAGTGGAGACCGAGGTTAGACAAAAGAAGTAGAGGAAGACCCCCTACACGATGGACTGACGATTTTAAGAACATTAAGAAATTTGATAAAAAGTGCTCAAGACAGAGCACAATGGACAAAAATGAGGGAAGCCTATGTCCAGCAGTGGACGCAAAGGCCTGGGTGATGATTATACATTAAGTAGCTGAGTTTCAGTGTTAGTGTAAAAAATTAAAAATAGTGTTATAGCAACTGTAAAATAAAGACTTAAATAATAAATAACAAATCACGTAGCAATATATTATCACTACCAAGAACTATAATAAAGATGAATTTACTATAACGATATCAAATTTCCATTATTGGAGAGGGCGTCCAAAGAAGAAAAGTGTAAAGTTTTATAAATAAATAATATTAATACAGATTAAAAATATGTACTGTTAGTTTACCCCGTGGAACCAGTTCTTCTGACTGAATATAGAACATCAAATGTATTCCAGACATTGGAACGTCGCGAACTAGAATTGGAAGCAACCCTGACGTCAATCCTCTAAATCCTTCTTGTGAATATATTATCTTAAGTCCTGCCCAAATTCCGGGGTATCTATAAACGCCACTTTCCATCCTGAAATAATTAATTAAATAAGCATACAAATACTCTGATGTCATTTATAATATTTCATAAGAATGTTCAATTTTTCACATGACAATTATGTCATTTTTTCGCTGTATTAATTACTATCATTCTAAAACCGTAAAATAGTTTCGAAACACAATTCAGATTTCCGCTTTAATCTGTGCTTTCTAAAAATTGCAAAGCAAAACAGACGTTGATAAAGGTGTTAAAAGAGACGTGGGGAATCTAAAATTTGCATTCCACGACACGTCTTTTCAACTAAGCAGAAATCCTTAGCGAATTGGTTTCTAGTACTCGTACAGAGTATATCCGAATAAAGTGAAAAGACAGCAAATATTTGATTTCACGCAAACAGCGCCTTTGTATCTGTTGATACGTATTTCGACCTAATAGGTCTCATCAGAACAGTTATTCAAAGGTGTTCTCAACGTGAAAGATCAATATTTTCTGTCTTTTAAGAAGCAACACTAAAATGGCTTCAATACGGACGCAATAGCGACATCTGACAATAAAACCGTAAAATAGTTTCGAAACACAATTTTAACACCTTTATCAACGTCTGTTTTGCTTTGCAAATTTTAGAAAGCACAGATTAAAGCGGAAATCTGAATTGCGTATTTTTTTGATACATTTTGAAAATACCTTGGACAGACAAAATAACAAATAGTGTAGTTCTTCGAAGAATGAACAAAGAACGGGAGCTGTTGATCACCATCAAGAGAAGAAAGCTGGAATATCTTGGTCATGTGATGAGAGGTGCGAAAGTACCGATTGCTCCAGTTAATTATCCAAGGAAAGATTCAGGGCAAACGAAGCGTGGGGAGACGACGTGTATCTTGGCTGCGCAATTTAAGAGACTGGTTCCAGTGCACATCTAACCAATTATTTAAAGCAACAGCTTCAAAGATACGAATAGCAATGATGATTGCCAAACTCCGTAGCGGAGAGGGCACTTGAAGAAGAAGAATTACAATTTTACAATCGCTACCCTACTCCAACCCTTTCTACTCCCACTTCAGCCCCAGTCCGTTTGAAACACAGTTTGAAAATAGCAAACGAAAAAGACACTCTCTTCCCTGTCGACTATCGTTAGCAACAGACGTACATTCTCTTCCCTGTTGACTGTCATTAGGAACATAGGTAGTCTCTCTATTGTTGACTGCCGCTAACAACATACATTCTCTCTCTTTCTCTCTCGCTTATAGTTTCACGAAAAATACCGCGAATCCCCTTTTAAATCGTATACAGACGCAAATGTGCTTTATCTCCTGATCTCAGTGTTAGTAGTGCGAGACACGTGTTTAGAAACCGGTAAAGACAGCTTCCCTGTACGAAAAACAACCGCAAGTGAACGCCTGTCAATACCGCGGATGTGTGTAGCAGCAGTATTGGCAAGATCCCGTCACCGACAAAATTTTAATTTCTAATTTAACTGAGCTGCCACCGTGCTTCGGAGGGCACGTAAAGCCGTCGGTCCCGGCTACGAAAGTAGTCGTTAAGTCATGTTAGGGGCGCTTGCGCGACCTGAAAACCCTAACACTAGACCTTAGCCAGAAGGTTACACGAACTTTACTGTACTTTTTATTGGCAAGACTTTGTATAAACTTGATTTGGTATTGTCTGTCTAACTCTTGCTACTTATCCTAATTTATTTTGAACCAGCTCCATGTAATACAGTCCTTATACACTAAAATTATATTCATAAATCCGTATATGTACGCCCTTTTTTTAAGTACAAGAAAATTGGAATATCTCGGACATATTACACATGGTAAGTAGAGGCGTGAGACAGTGTGATACAATATCACCGAAACTTTTCTATCAGGCTCTTGAAGATACTTTTAAAAGATTAGAATGGGAAAAAAAGGTATAAAAATTTGTGGACAACGCTTGAACCATCTAAGGTATGCTGATGACATTGTATTGATAACCGATAAAAATGAAGAAATATTTGAAATGATGAAAGAACTGGACGTAGAAGCTGGAAAGATAGGCCTTAATATGAATTACAGCAAGACCAAAACTATAACAAATACAGATGAAGACATCACAATGAGAATCGGACAAGATGAAATAGAACAAGTTAAGGATTATATATATCTTGGTCAAACTATAAAACTTAACAAAGAGAACCAAACAGCAGAGATCAAGAGACGAGTTAGACTGGCATGGGCGGCATTTGGCAAACTAAGCTACATTCTTAAAAACAAAAGATATCCACAGCATCTTAAGACCAAAGTATATAATCAATGCGTACTCCCTGTTCTTACTTATGGTTCCCAAACGTGGACATTTACAAAAGCAAACATGGACAAAATCATAAAAACCCAAAGAGCAATGGAAAGACAAATGTTGCACATAAGACTAATGGATAAGAAGAGAAACGAGTGGATAAGAGAGAAAACAAAAGTGAGGGATGTTAGACAAGAAGTTGCAAAATTGAAATGGAGATTTGCCGGACACAATATAAGACAAAAAGAAGACCGATGGAACAAAATTCTTATAAGTTGGAGACCGTGGGAATATAAACGAAGCAGAGGAAGGCCCCAAATGAGATGGGCAGATGATATCAAGAAGCACGTGGGCTCTAGATGGATGACTGTAGCGACAGACAGAGAAGAATGGAAAAGGATTGGGGAGGCCTATGTCCAAAGATGGACCGAAGAAGGCTAATTAGATAGATAGATTACACATGGAGAGAAATACACCTTGCTCCAACTGATTATGCAGGGAAAGATTCAAGGAAAGAGAATCATAGGGAGGAGTAAAATGTCATGGTTTCGCAACCTGAGAGAGTGGTACGGATGTATATCAAATGAACTTTTCAGAGCAGTCCGTCTCAAAAGTACGAATAGCTATGATGATTGCCGACCTCCGCCGCGGAGATGGAACTTGAAGAAGAAGAAGACACCTTTTTTGTACCAAAATATATACAGGTTAGAGTATGATTTATCCATCCAGAGGAACCAAACACATTTAGACGTCTTTTCTTTTAAAAAGTAAATAATATTAAATCCGTAATCAGATTTACCGCTTCACGAAGAACAGTTTGCCTCCCAATCACGGAAATCTTCTATACTCTGTTAAAACTAGGAATGACTGAAAATCTATGATCGGCATGATCACTTGATGCGCAGTGAGCAAATTTGAGCAATAAACATTTACTCTTACACTAACAGTAATGATAGAAGAACTCAAAAGGAACATTTTGAGCTTGGTAAAATATTCGTAGGTTTATTTTTTGGTTGTTCGCGAGGTTGCTCTGAGGCGCAAGATCGGTTCGTAGCTTCTACTGTAGACCTGCTCGTTCTTTAAGTAGAATAAAGATTGTTTCCCAAATAACCAAACTATGGTAAGTTTCTCAGCAATCAGAAACAAAAAAAAAACGAATGTACCCACTCTCATATTTTGACAAGTGAACGAAGACGAAATTGTTACTCAACTTTTAATGTACTAAACTGAAAATTGTTGGTACTAATGCGCACAAAGCCCTTAGTACCAGGCGACAGAATGCCGGACTATCGGTTCATTTGAAAGCTTGGTCGGTAATCAAGGTTAATTCTGAAACATTTATGATTTTTGCCGGTAAAACAAATTTTTCCGCCATCGTGACGAATTAGATCTCATGATTTCGTCTTAGTGGGCGATTAGATTTTTTAATGTAAATATTATTCTATTTTACGCTCAAGATGCAATTCGTACAGAAAAAACGATCAAAGAGGAACAATTAAAAGTAATTTGGGAGCAATTAAGACACAAATAAACGATCATAATGCATCTCTATGTTCAGAATTCAAATGTTTATGATTATAGTCGGACAATTTTCAATTAAAGGTGACTAATCTACAAATTGAACGGAGTTGAATCCTGGACACTAACTGAAGCAATGGAGAAAAAACTTGAAGCCTTCGAGATGTGGCTATACAGGCGAATTCTAAGGATATCATGGACAGACAAGATAACCAACGAGACCGTATTACGAAGAGTGGGCAAAGAAAGAGAGGTGATGTATACCATTAAAAGGAGAAAGTTGGAATATCTCGGACATATAATGAGAAACAGCACTAAATACAGATTACTGAAGGTAATCCTACAGGGTAAAGTATTCGGAAAGCGAGGAATTGGGAGAAGGAGAATATCATGGTTGAAGAACCTGAGGAAATGGTTCTCCACAACAACAACGAATTTATTTAAAGCAGCAGTTAATAAAATAATTATAGCCAGAATGATTGCCAATATTCGGAACGAATAGGCACTGAAAGAAGAAGAAGAATCTGTTGCAGTTTCGCAACTGTAAATAAACATGTGTAAATGTACTTTTAAATACTTTAAGACTTTTTAATAGTTTCTATTCTCCTCGTATATTTTAAAACCAGATTTGCGTGTAAGTGACACAGCCGTTTTAAGGGCTAAACATTCCAAGACGACCATCTGCGAGATAACAAGGACGATTTCCACATGCCACATGTGTTTTGAAAGTTAAAATAAGGGTTTGCGTTTGTTAGAAAACAGAGTCGAAAAGTATCTCTCAAACGATGAAGATGTATGTGAAGACGAAGAGTACCTGACTCCTTATCGGTCTTTTGACCAAAAAAGACGCAAATGTGCATCAAAAACTTGTGTAGTTGAAGTCGGCCGCTGAAGGCGTAATTTGCGATAGCGTTGGGCTATCTTTTTCATGGGGTAAGGAACAATACACCATTTATATACGATTTGCTGCATATATCAAGTACGTGCACTTGATATATTTATTTGATATTTGTTGGAACTTCATCGCATTTGTGCCGCGATCGCAATTGAACATTGTCAATTGGACATTTTGCGTTTGTTCCGGTTTATTTACTATATTCTTATTTTTGTATTTTGTTTTGTAAACACCGATTTATTTTATGCGTGGTTTGTATTAATAATTGTATTGTTTGTATGTTTTTATACCATTGACATATATATATCCATATTTTTATGTTTTTGTTGTAATATTATTAATTTGTTTTTCATCTTTTTATGTATAGTATGTTTGCTGGCTATTGATGGTAGGTTTTGTCTTGTTTTGTCGGTGGTTTTTAATAGAATCGACATCTTTCTGTTTTGGTTGGTTTATGGTTGTCTTTCGGTGTGTCTGTTGGTGTGTTTCATAGTAGCTAATAGTTAAGTTTGTATATTCCTTCTTTAATTATAATGGTATATTTGTTATGTATATTTATGTTTAATTTTACACCTTTTTAAAATAGAGTTTTATACAGTCCACTGGCTTTGATTTCTTTTCTTTAGTTTAATATACATACCCATTTCGAAAGGGGGAAACCAGCGAGTTCCGGATTGAACAGAATATCTCTCCCCCTTCAGGATGACCTTAATTGTTATATTGAGGTCATCGTATGTGCAGAACGCAACAGAATCTACAAATTGAACTAAACGGTGAGAAGTCTGTTGGATAGGGAGAGAAGCAAAAACATAAGAAGAGCATGCAATATAGAAGACATAAATGGATGGGTGACAAAACGAAACCAAAAGTGGAACAAACACATCAGTAGAATGGCGGACGATAGAATAGTATGAATAGCACGAGATAAGTCACCAAATGGACGAAGAAGTGTTGGTAGACCAAGAAAAAGATGGTGCGACAATTTAAACAATTTAGGAAGCTAATATTGAAGAAGAAACAGGCTTTAAAGCCTACAAACCAGAAGGAAGAAGAAGAAGAAGATCAATGTCTTCTACATCAGAAACTAATCTAATCTAATCTCGGCGGCAAATAAACCACATTAAGTGGCATTTTCACTATCTGAGTTTTCTTCTAACATAGCTATTAACTCTTTAGTAGTTAGTGCCATCTTCATTTCATATTTCGAGAATTTACTGAAATGAACAAATGCGCTGCTATATAAACGCATTCATATGCTAATAGTTTAGCTTACTTCATTTTAATTTATATGGACTTCATAATATATTTTCATATTTATATAAACAAATAAACACAAGCAAACTTTCAAATTAAGTTAAAAAAAAAAAAACAAATATAACGTTTACAGCACACAGCAATTCTATAAATAGAGAATGATGTGTAATTAAAATTGCAGATTGTTTTTAGTCTAATGAAAAAAAAATTATTTTCCAAAGTTTTCTGTTTTTTAAAGTTCTGTATTAGATACTCTCTAATAAGAATAAAATTTTATTTTATTTTGTTAGACAACTATAAGATACCTGTTAAAAGAGAAATGATAATTTAATAATTAAATCGGTCTTAGACGTAATTTTTTAAGTACGATGTTGCCAAGTAATCACCTTCAATTAAAAATTGTTTTAGTATAACTAACGTTCGCATATTTTCGTGGAAGAGCAGAATTAAACCTTATACAGGGTCGCATAGAAGTTACTGCTTTTAATTAATTGAACATTATTAATTTTTTATTTTTTTTTTGTATCGTTACAGTGGATAGAGAAGGAAGGAAACAAATGGTTGCTGGAAATAATGACAGAAGCATGTAGAACAAATAAAATACGCTCCTATAGGGCATAAGAAACGCAAGAAGAAAAAGAAACATTGTCATTGACAAGTTGCGCTTGCCTTGCGAGTCCACAAAATTCCCAAACAACGAATTATTTTCTTCCTGTTAAACGTATATATTTATATTTATACCTCGTTTTTACGACTGTTAATGGTATAACTGATATATCGGTGACCGTTCTAGACATCATACCAATTATTATGGATTCCAAAGTACTAATATGTCCTTCTGAAAACAGATGACTTCTTATTATATCGTAAGACATAAAGTAAATGCCACCAGCGGGAATACCTCGTACCAATGTCTAAAACATAAAAATATATGTACGTTTTATCATTATTTATATATTCACAAAAAGAATAAGAGGAATTATATGCAATCTAAGAAAAATACACAAAAAACAAAAAAAGTATTAAAATAAATTAAGACCAATAGAGGAACTAAAGCAACCAGATCTAAATGTAGATAACTCCGGATAATTTGTAAATACTACCACAGAATGATGATCAACCAAATTGGAAAAATGAGCAAACAGACAATGGAGGTAGACTTTTCCGGCAGTGTTAGCTTCCTAAAAATAACCATTTTAGAGTTACATCAACCAGCTTATTGCCAAGCTGGTCGGATCTCTCTGCCCTCCGTAAATCCGATGCGGCCAGGACAAGGTAAACCCCACCTCTCTCATACTGGGGCATTAGGGTGGAACGTATATTAGGACATTACTTCGCTCAAATTTCATTCTTTTGTCCGATTCTCTGCCCAATAAGCTGTTCCTATCTACACTTTAGTCAACACTCAATCTAATCTTCGCCCATTAGTCCATTATTGACTTATCTTGATCTATTCTACTCCTATATCCAACTCCGCCCTTGCAGGTTCCAAGCCCAGATGAGAAAGAAGGTGGATCAATGGATCTTGGTGATACTAGCTATGCCAAGATATTGTTAAATGCTAAGAAACTCCCTAGATGGATAAAACTATCAAATCTTACCCGCGATGGAATAGTTGAAGGCGAGTCTGCACCGCCTCAAATGTGGAATCCCGTGGCTAAGGTATGGTAACCCTAACAGAACAGTTCTTGGCCCTCCAGGTTGTGGACTTAGACCTAACAACCTTATCTCGGAAAACCAAAATACATTGTTACTAGATCCACAGTTAAAGATGCGACAACCATCACAATGACGAAATAAGGACAACGATTTAGAAACATACGCCCTTTGAATGTGTGATCACTCTATAAATCTGGAAATCTTCGAAAAGATGGACTGGCCAAGGAATTATCCAAAAGAGATAATGCAATATTTATTATAGCTTTAAAAAAGCAGTTATGAATTCGGAACCGCATTAATTGTTAATTAAAAAGTAAAACATCATTATGATGGCAAACTTCGCTAACTAGAGACAATACTCCAACATAAGGTTTATTTAATCCTTTTAATAAGATTATTAAAGTATGATAGCCATGATCGAACAAATTTACTTTACTCATATAACGATCATTACACGTTTTGGTTATGGTGGTTGCCTAAAATTGGGTATGCAATACACAACATATACAATATACAGAGAACGGCAAAATTCTGGACTAAAATATTTTCAATAACCAACAGATTCTTTTCTTCATTTTCTATTCTTCAGCTTCTCAATGTTTTTAACTTCCTGCGTGAATATATTAACTTCTTTGTTTGAATTTATTTTTACTGTTTCTTGTTTTAACGTAATTTATTATACTTTCTTCCTGTACGACTTTTTTAGATGTTTGAGATTAGCATTTAGCAAAAAATGATCAAATTTATGATGATTGTATAGTCTAAGTCTAATTCTGGTGACAAAAAAAATATTATTGAAACCCGAGAATAAAAATATGATTCTGAAGCTAATCTTTTGTGGTATTTTAATATTCTTTACTATCCATAATTGGATATTATCGGAAGAGGTACAAGGAGAGCGAAAAACTTGTAACTTTGCTCTCAAAAAGGATAATGAGTTCTAATCAATGTTATGCAATAGTGTTGGTTCCAAACATGAGATTAAAACACTTATTTTAATAAGGGTACAAGTAGGGTATTTCAATAGTTTAAAAAATTGATTTTGTTTTGACAATACGACCTTTTGCACGAACTCAGTGGAAATAACTTGTTTTGCATGTAAAATTTTGTTGTTTCTACAATTAAAAAACAGACAATTTTTTTAAATATGGAAGTCACAGCGCTCATTGTCGAGACATTCACTCATTACTTCCTGCTCCTCACCAGCAGCTGCTGTAGTGGGTTCATTAAAAATCAAACTCTTGTACTAACCAAGACGTGCATATTTTAATTCTCCACAGTTCACTAACTGACTGGATGTCCTTATAGTATCCACTTAGCTTCTTAATATCAAGAAGTAGCCAATCTTCTCCAAGTGCTCTTACGTTACCTATCTTCTTCCTTTGCCCTATCCGTTTCGGACGTTGGCTATTAACAAGGCTATTTTGACTTTGTTTACGGCACCTCTGAACAGTTCGGTCGATGTTAGTCCGAACCATTGTCGCAGGTTATGCATCCATGAGTGTCGTCTTCTTCCCGGTCCCCTCCTACTGTCGATTCTTCCTTGGACTATTAACTGTAGCAGCCGGTACTTAGTATGCCTCATGACATGTCCGAAGTACTCAAGCTTCCGTTTCTTTACGGTGAAGATTATTTCTTTGCTTTTGCCTATTCTCTGCATTACTTCCACGTTAGTGATGTGGTCTGTCCAGGATATCCGAAGAATACGGCGATATATCCACAGCTCAAAGGATTCTAGTTTCTTCAGGGTGGCTTCCGTTGTGGTCCATGCCTCTGCTCCATAGAACAAGACCGGGAAGACATAACACTTGACCAGTCTTAATTTTAGTTCCATTGAGATTTTGCTTGTGAACCACTTTTTCATATTGTTGAACGCGTTTCGCGCTTTTTCAATTCGTGATCTTATTTCTGTTGACTGGTCCCATTTTGTGTTGACTGTGGTTCCAAGGTATGTGTATGTCTCCACTTGTTCTATTTTTCGGTTGTTTAATGTCAATTGCATCGGAGGTTGTTGTGTTCTGCTGATGAGCATGCATTTAGTTTTGGTTGTATTGAGTTCTAAACCATATTCTTGACTTGCTGTGTGTATGCTTTGCATGAGTCTTTGAAGCTCGTTGCAGTCATTTGCGATAATAACTGTGTCGTCAGCATATCTAATATTATTGATTACCTCTCCGTTTACTTTGATACCCTCCGAAACTTCTCCCAGTGCTTCTCTGAAGATTTGTTCAGAGTATATATTGAACAGGAGCGGCGAGAGGACGCATCCCTGTCGTACACCCTTTTTAATATCTATCTTCCCACTGTGTAAGTTGCCCATCTTTATCTCAGCACTTTGGTTCCAATAGAGACTGGTTATTATGCGCAGATCCTTGCCATCAATATGCATCTTCCTGAGCATTTCCATGAGTTTATCATGTTTGACCTTGTCAAACGCCTTGGAGAAGTCGATGAAGCACAAGTGGACGTCCTTGTGCATGTCTCTGCATCTTTGAATTAAAACTTGCAGACTGAAGATCGCCTCTCTTGTGCCCAATGCGCTTCGGAATCCGAACTGTGACTCCGATATATTTGCTTCGCATTTGTTATATATTCTATTGTGTATGATTTTGGTGAAAACTTTGGTAATGTGATTTATCAAGCTTATTAAGCGGTGTTGATCACAGTGTTTTGCACTTGGTGTTTTAGGTATGGCTACAAAGGTCGATCGAAGCCATTCCTCCGGAATCTCCCCTTTGTCGTAAAAGGTGTTAAAAAGGCCTGTCAGAAAATCGAGGAAGTGGTCATCCGTTTCGCATAGGAGTTTTATGATCTCGCCCTGTATGTTGTCGGGACCTGGTGTTTTGTCGTTTTTTAGCGATGAAATGGCTTTTTCCACTTCAGACCTTAGTATTTCGGGTCCAGTCATGTCGTCATCTTGGTCCACTGTCGCTCTGCGTTTATCGTTAAAAAGTCGTTCTACGTAATCTTTCCATGTGTCAATGAGCTTCAAGTCGTCTGATATAAGGTTACCGTCTGCGTCTATTAGTGTCGGGTGGGGATTATTGGTTTTCTTTTTAGTTGTTAATTCTTTGATCTTTTTGTGCATGTTGTGGTAGTCATATCTTCTGTCGCACTCTTCGATTTCATCGCATTTCTCCTTCAGCCAGCGTTCCTTCGCTTCCTTTATCTTTGTTTTTATATTGTGACTTGTTTCTTGATACTTCACTTGATTTTTGCATTTGTGTTGTCTTCTTTCTTCCATCATATCAAGGATTTCATCCGTCATCCATTCTTTCTTCTTTACGCGCTCCTGTAACAGAAGTGTCTTGTTTGTCATTTCAACAGCTCTTTTTATTTCTTCCCATTTAGCAACTGCGTCTTGTGCGGGTTCACTCAAGTTTCCAATGTTTCTTCTTAAGGATTCCTGTACTTGTTGTTTAATGTTGGGATCCTTTAATTTCCTAATGTTTATCTTGGTTTTGTTAGGCTTCCCTTCTATACGTTTTAGTTTGATTCCCAGTTTACCCACCACTGGGTTGTGATCCGATTGAGCGTCAGCCCCGGGATAGGTTTTCACTGATGTGATTGACTTTCTGAATCTTTCTGGTATGGCAATGAAGTCGATCTGGTTTCTTACATTTGTTTCTTTCGAGTCTGCTGGCGACTTCCAGGTATAAAGTCTGCGAGGGGGCAGTTTACGTTACCTATACCATTGATTAATGTTTTTGTGTGTTTCAAAAAATGATTCAGTGTTCTCAGGACAATATTATTTTTATTTTGAGAAATACAACCATCGCTAAATAACCTTAGTACAGAACAGCCCTAAAAATCAGCTTATTTCAAATAGTTAAAGAGAGCCGATGATATTTCCACACTGCCTTTTTCTGCCTGCTTCTCTGTCAAGTGTAGAACATGTGGTTTTGAGTTTTTAGATCAGTAATACAAAAGTTATAAAACCAAATTTGTCTCGCGTAATAAGCTTCTTGAATTGGACTTTTCGGTTGTGGCTGAATTTGTTGAAGATCAAAGCAAAGGCTAACAGAATGAGAAACATCCATTTCCATGTACTCATAAAACGCCTTTGCTCTTCTTGAATGAATCCGCTTTTCAACCATTAGCTGCGTCTTTTCAGCAGACTGTGCTGGTGCACTTTTAATTTGTTCTTTGAGAAGGCAGCACGTACTGTAAGTATCGGAGGCAGGTGACTTAAAACCTATGTTAATATTTTACTTAGTTTACTAATACTTAACTCACTACTCAGATATAATCTTTTGGACTCCTATCTTCTGTAATGTGATTCAGTTCCTCTGAGCTTTTTTATGTACTCTTAACACTTTCTCTTCTTCAGATAATTCTTATTTTTGGTAGAGTCACCTCCTCCTTTCTCGCTTCAACAGCAAACCCAAAATGCACTTTTTTGGCTATATTTTTATTGTAGTTTCTCCAATACCAATAACAGTGCGAAAAAGCTTTAAATATACAGAAGTTTTAGCACCAAAACAGTTGGAAAAAAGTATTGTATTGAGTACTTTCGCTCAGGTCCAGGTTTTTTATTTTTGTTTTTGTTTACCGACCTAGGCCTATGTCTTTTGATTTGTGTTGTATGAATTAGACTGGCAATTATATTGTCTTGTCTTTTCGTGTCTGGAACTTTATAAAACTCTTCTTTAAAAGCGTTGATGTAATAGCTTATTTTACGGCACGTTATTTTTGTGCTTAATCGGTACAAAAACTAGGGCTCTTTTAGGAGCTACATATCTGGTAATTTGTTCACTTTTTTTTCTTCTGTAACTCTTCTCTTTCTAGTCCCTTCATTTCTTCACCAACAGTTATACTTCCATCTGCCCATCCATTATCCTTTAAATAATAAAGTAATTACCAATTGTTTTTAAATACTTTACAATAAACCCTCATATAATCTCAAATTTGTAAGACTCACTGGGTCAACTGAGTGGCAGTTAGAGAGTTCCTATTGGTTGGTTGGAAATAAGCTAGTTAGCATGGACCAGTATAGTAGAAAAAGTTGTTTTGCATGTAAAGGTGATTTTAACATACTTTACCATTGGTAAAAATTTTTTTGCATGAATCAGATCAAATAAATCACTTTTTTTTAAGGCTGTTTTCATGTTACCTCCTCTACATCTATAGTCTGTATCTTCCTAAATTACTTTGCACAAATGTAATTAATCAATATAGGAGTTTACATCTGTCAACTATGACCGGTTTTGGTTGAATATTTTATGATGAAATAAGTTAAAATATAAATTTATCATATATTGGAATTGTTTGTGTGCAGGTATATTATGATTTGCGCCACCTTCGATGCAGACCGCTTCCTTTCTCTCTCCAGGGCGCTGGACTGTAGGATCTACACCATGGATGCACAGACCGCGGCCCGCCGGCCGAATACTGGTGGCCCGCCGACAGCAAAAATAATACTCTTGTACATTCGAAAACTATTGAATTCTATTCCAGAATAAAACCAAAAAAAATATGTTCGAAAAGTAATTTGAATCTCGCGCGCGCTATTTGAATCTAGTGCCCAAAAATGCTAAGTCAAGTAACATCGCTTGCTGCCTTTATATAAAGTTTAAAATAGTAGAGAAATCAAGAATAGTTCGATCAGCACTCAGTCACGTTCGTCAGTCCTGGCGCCGAAGCGAATATCGTCATACAAAATATTCTTTAATAGAAATATGGCGCCGGCATTCACATTCATCTAGTCTGACGAACAGTTTCCAGCTGTCAGATAGTTGATAGTTCTGTGACCAAACAGACCGGTTCGGCGCCGAGACTGTGACGTGACTGATGTGTCTGAATCGACCTTACACGTCAATTTACTATTGCAGTGTTAACCCGTCAAGTGCCGTGTATAATTGTGTTGTGAAATCGTAAGTAAAACTCTGTTATTAATAAGTGTTTCCCTACCTATTTAATCAATTTTAATCAAATTTAGCTTTAATGTTGGCCAAATATTAAAATAAAACAAAGAAATTACTATTTTTATCAGAATTTCTCTAATTGTAATAATTACGTCATTATTTCAGATATAAAATCTGTATAAAAATCTTAAAATTTCTTAGGAATAATATTCAATCAATTATTTTTGATAATTTAAAAAAGGATGGGTAATTTAAGTAGGTCCTGTAATTGTTTTCAGGTGCTGTGTTAATCCTAGCCAGGATTAGAACGCAACATGGAGAAGCCAGGACCTAGTAAAAAACGTAAGGTTAAAGATGAAAATCGGCAGTTTCAAGAAATTTGGACTGAGAAATACTTTTTTGTATGGTCGCATAACAAAGTCGTTTGTTTAATTTGCAAGAATTCTGTTGCGATTGCAAAGGAATATAATGTAAAAAGGCACTATGAAACGCAGCATCCTTCTTTTACCAAGTTTACAGGCGAATTAAGAAAGCAAAAAATGTTGTCTTTAAAACGGGAGCTTATTGGTCAGCAAGCTATGTTTACAAAACCCATTCAAGATTCAGAAACAGCTACAGAAGTTAGTTATGAAATTTCTCGAATGATAGCAAAGCGAAGTCGCCCCTTCAATGATGGCGATTTTGTAAAAGAATGCATAGAAATTGCCGCTAAGAAAATGTGTCCAGAAGCATCAAAAAAGTTTGAGAAAATTCAACTGAATCGTATGACTATCCAAAGACGAATAATATCTTTGTCAGGTAATATTGCGGAACAATTAATTGAAAAAACTAAGATCATTGAATTTTTTTCATTAGCACTCGACGAATCCACTGATATTAGTTCCACAGCTCAACTTCTCATATTCATACGAGGTGTTACTCAAGATTTTGAAGTCTTAGAAGAGTTATTAGGAATGTGTTCATTGAAAGGTCAAACCAAAGGAGTTGATATACTCAATGTTCTTTTGGATGAGTGTTCAAAAACTGATTTGGACTTATCAAAATTATCGGGAGTTGCGACTGACGGTGCTCCTTCGATGATTGGTGTCAATTCCGGGCTAGTTACTTTGCTGAAAAAGCATCTGCAAGAAAAAAACATAAACGCTGAAGATCTTATGCAGTTTCACTGCATTATACACCAAGAAGCCCTCTGTTCTAAAAAAATTGAATTTCAAAATGTCATGAAAGTGGTAGTTTCGATTGTAAATTTCATAAAATCACGAGGACTCAATCACAGACAATTCAAACAATTCCTTGATGACATCGAAAGCGAATACGGAGATTTACTGTATTATACAGAAGTAAGGGGCTAGTGATCATGGTGATCTTTCCTGTCCTGCTGTATGGAGTAGAAGCGTGGACCCTAACTGAAGCTATGCTTAACCGCTTGACAGCCTTTGAGATGTGGGTATTCAGACGACTATTGAAAATAAGCATGGTCGACAGAGTTAGAAATGAGGAGTCCTTAGACGGCTGAACCAAACAACACAACTGGTCAATATAATAAAGAAACGCAAGCTGGAATACTTCGGTCATATTATGATGACACCCTGAAAAATATGATCTTGTTACATTCTGATCATTCAGGAAAGAATCCAGGTAATCGTGGTCCTTGTAGAAGAAGAAACATCATGGCTGAAAAATCTAAGGCAAGTGGTATGGAAAATCAACTACATCGTTATTTAGAGCTGCTGTCAGATAAAGTCACGATAGCGAATATGGTAGCCAACATGATATCCAACGATCGATAAGCGGTCATGAACTAGAAGAAGAAGAGAAGGTGGCTAAGTCGTGGATTGACACTGGAACGATTTCTAAATTTAATAGAAGAAATTGGAATATTTCTGGCGGAAAAGCAAAGGGATGTCCCGGAACTTAAAAATCCTGATTGGTTGTGTGATTTGGCTTTTTTAGTTGACATTACAAATCATTTGAATGTCTTGAACACACGGCTTCAAGGCAAAAATCAACTGATATCCCAGCTCTACGCTCATGTATCATCCTTTCAATGCAAGCTGACACTTTTCAGATCACAGTTGAATTCTGGAAATTACAATCATTTTCCGAATTATAAGAAAATGGCTGAAAAATTCAACAAAACTGCGATTAATTTCAGTTATGTAGAAAAGCTAGATATTTTGATTCAATCTTTTCAAGAAAGATTTTCGGAGTTTAAAAAAGTGAAACCTCTGTTGGACATATTCAGCAATCCTTTCACGATTTCAGTTGAAAATGCGCCAGAGTCAATGCAGTTAGAAATTTGTTACCCTAATATTACAAGGTTCTATGTAACATTTTTTACTAAATTAAGTTTTCAATATTACAAAGTTCTATGTGACTAGCACTACATCACAATTTGTATGGAAATTAGTTTGCTCACATACAACTCTGGTAATATTAAAAAAACCAAGGGTGTATGTACAAAATTATGCTTTATATGAATAGCAAAGTTCTATGGTAAACATAGAACTTTGGAATTTAAAATTTGATTAAAATCTAAATATTACATGGTTCTATGTTGTAACATACAACCTTGTTATTGTATTTTTTGTAAAAGTGAGGTTATGTTCCTGTATTTATAATACAAATCGCAAGCGTTTTCGAGAGTGTTATTTGTGTCTAGAATTAAAAAAAAATGAGTAATTTAAGTGATGACTATGTCCAAGACTCTGATGATGATGAGGATTACGTATTACCAGTTCAAAAATCATCGAAGATGAAAGAATGCAGGTAAGATTTTTCTATATCTTATATTGTGAGGTTAGGTTTTTATTTTTTATTTCTTTTTTTACAAAAAGTTCTTTGTTTCAGACTTAAAATTCGTGGACGTGTTATTAATATTCCCGTGTCAAGAAGTAGCAGCGAAAGTGATGACGAAACTAACTCAGAAACGGATTCAAGCAGGTAGGCATGATTTGCTAAACAAAAAAAATTAAACAACGTAACATTTTATTAATTTCTTTTTATAATTTAGCTTGTTGTTACTATTTAAAAACTAATTTGTTTTAGAAAAGCTCCTAGTTCGTCTTCCACCTCAATCATTCACACTCCAAAGAATAAAAAGGCCCCAATCATAGTTGTTAGCAATATTAAGATTAAAAATGCATCTAACTCTGGTTCTGGTGACTTGCAGTCTAACTTAAATAGGTAATATTTTTGACAATTATTTTGTTTAACTAAATCGCGAAAACATTTTTTTTTATTTTTATTTTAGAAATGTACCTAGCAGTTCTACAACTTTAGTTCCAGAATTCACCAAGAAAATCCCGTCTTCAGAAGATAACAAAATTAAGATTCTAGAACCAGACCATTCTGATTTCGATGATACAAATAATATTGGACATATTTCCGAAGAAATTTTACTAGAAGAAGCAACTCATAATATAATAAAAGATAAAAAGATATTTACTAGAAAACGACAGAAAAACACTTCTGAATGGACATGTAACAAAAGAAAATCTTTATTTGATCAAGGTCTAGAGTATATTTCTTCTCGAAAAAAGGTAGTACCTGCTAGAAAGATTAGGAATAAAAAAGATTGTGTACAAAAGTGCAGAATGAAGTGCTCGCGTCAAATTAGCGACGAACAAAGGAAGGAAATTTTTAAAAACTATTATTTACTCTCAGCCATCGAAAAGAAAAACTATATTTTGCATACCACAGAAGCTGAGACTCCTTGGAGACGAAGAAAAGGCAAAAATCCAGAAAATTCGAGAAAAAGCAAAAGTTTTAGGTTTTATTTTGAGATAAATAATCAAAAGATCCAAGTTTGCAAGGCTTTTTACACTGGGACTTTATGCATAAGCCAGAAACCAATTTATACGGTGCACAACAATAAAACTTCCACCAAAACCTTACCCGAAAGTAAACAAGGCAAACATCAAAAACGGGTAACATCACTCGAAGATAGTAACTTGGTCAAGGAGCACATTAACATGATTCCAAGAGTGGAATCCCATTACTGTCGCAAAAAAACTAATAAAGAGTATTTAGAAAGCGGATTAAGTATCAAAAAATTGTATGAGCTTTATTTGGATTTTGCTGGAGAATGCAAAAAAAATCCAGTTTCTTTTGCTGTCTACAGAAAAATATTTTGCAACTATTTTAATATAGCTTTTCACAAACCAAGAAAAGATAGATGTGATACCTGCGAAGAAATAAAATTAAGAAAAATGGAGAAGAGGGAAGACGAAGAATCACAACGAAGATATACTGATCATTTGAAAGAGAAAGAGTATATGAGAGAAGAAAAACAAAGAGATAAAGAAAGCGGAATACCTTTATTATGTTTTGATCTGGAAAATGTTTTGACATGTCCAAAAGCAGACATAAAAAATTTCTTTTATAAGAGCAAATTAAATGTGTACAATATGACCGGTCACCTTTCGGTTGGGAAAAAGGTGTATTGTGCCGTGTGGACAGAAGCTTTACATGGAAGAAAGGGAAATGACATTGCAAGCGCAGTTTATAAAATAGTAGGAAAAGTGTTGGAGGACCATCCAGAGTTTACAAAAATCATTTTGTGGAGCGATAGCTGCGTTCCACAGAATCGAAACAGTCTTATGAGTTATGCTCTCAGTTACCTAATTCAAAAACATCAGAATGTGCAAAATATTTCCATGAAATTTTCTGTTCCAGGACATGCTTGTATTCAAGAGGTCGATGCAATCCACAGTGCAATTGAAAGAACGTTGAATAAAGTAGAATATTATTCTCCTATATCACTTCTGCGCTACCTTTTAAAAGTAAACCGACAAAATCCATATACAATAATTCAAATGAAACAAGAACATTTTATAGATTTTCAGTCTTTTTCCAGCCAACTGAACTACAACGCTGTACCATTTTCAAAAGTAGTAGCATTAGAATTTTCTAAATCTTTTTTTGAACTGAAGTATAAAGATACTTTTGATCCAACCAAAGAGCTAAAAACTGTAAATTTACATCAAAGAAAATTACGAAAAGGTCATGTTAAAACCGAAACAGAACCACTCATTCCGCTTCAATTAAAAAAATGTGATAAGGCTGTTGTACTTCCCCCAAATAAGATAGATGCCCTAAAATCTATGTTCAAGTATATCCCTGAAGTTGATAAGGAATACTACGAGTGTATTTTCCTCCAAAAATAAGATTTAATTTGTTTTTTTTTGTAGTTAACAAAGTTCTATGTTAATTTTTTAAATAAGTAAAATTTTCTTGCTATATCAAGGTTCTATGTTTTTTTTTTCAAATACCTTTTCTTCTAATACAAAAACCAATTTTTTGTTAATTTTTTCTTTAAATCACCTTTAATACATATGTACATTTTTAATTTAAATTCAAATTTAAAATATATAAAACAATTTGATTTTTATGAAAGCTCATTTTTTTAAATCGATTTTTCTCAAATTAGCAATATTGTTACATACAACCTTGTAATATTAGGGTAACGAAATTATCGACATTCAAAACGACCAAGATTACGCAACAAATTCAACCGAAGGAGACTTGCTGAACTTTTACCGCTGCATTGATAAAAATATGTACGAAGAGTTGCGCATAAACGCTCTGAAATGTGCCAGCTTCTTTGGTTCTACCTATATATGTGAACAAACTTTTTCAATACTAAATAATAATAAAACAAAAAATCGAAACCGCCTTGCAAATGAAAGTTTGGAAGCAGTTTTACGTGTTGCTACAAGTAAATTTGAGCCAAATATAAAAAAGATTGTAAGCACTATGCAGTGCCACGCTTCAAATTAATAAATTATTTTTCAATTTTAATAAATTATTATCAATTCTTTATTGTCTTTAATTACCTATACTTCTGGCGGCCGGCCCGCCATCAGTTCATGATTTGCCCGAGTGGCCCCTAGTCTTAATAAGTCTGTGCATCCCTGATCTACACAGACTACACACACACCTACTGTGTGTAGGATGCACATACGCACACGTTAATTAGACCAAGTATGAAAAGAAATAATTAATAAAATAATTAATAAGAAATAATAAGAACAATAGGTATGTATGGAGTGACGGGACATATTTAATTTTTAAAATATACACTTACAGGCGTCATCCCAGCCCACAACATTTTCAAACTTTCTTTTTCTTTGATTTCATAAATCATATTAATTATGTTAAACTTACTTCTTCCACTAAAAAATAAAAAGTAAATAATATACAATGGAATAATACAGTTACGTGAATATAATATGCGGAGAGGGGTGAGAAGAAAAAGAGTAGATTGCAGAAAGTTTAATGGATAAACTCAAGTTAGATGCAACTATTCACTCAAAATACGTGGGCGTCCAAGTAAAGTAATTCATTAGGTCGCCAGGATTTGCTTGTAGCTCACATTACTCGACCAGCATGTTGAACAGCTAGAGCTAAATAATCAATGTATCCAAATTTCCTTACAGCAGTACTGAAAAAGTCTAATATAGAACGGTTCAATATAGTGGCGACCCAAGAGTTTCCTGTAGTAGCCATGTTTAATTTTCTCGGTTTGCTTATAATTAAGCATTGTACGACGCTAATCTATCCGAGAGCATGTTGTCAATATTTAGTACCACTATAGTGCGGAGTGAAACCACATTAGTGCCCAGATTGCTTTTTCGCAGTTTTAATGTGATGCTAATAATTTTTTGGGAGCAATGCCCTAAAATTAAAAAAAAAACATAAAAATAAATGCCCTCTCGACGTATCTCTACCTTGCCGTGGTGAGAGGGCTTGAGTGTTTTAATGACTCCTGGAGCTATGCCGGCGGTAGCGTAGCTACTGGTAGGGCCTCCCTTGCCGGACAGATCTGGGATGAAAAACGAGACTAAGAGAGATACACCGGTCCTCCTAAGAGGGGGTTGTGCAGTAGGCCAGCAACCTACTCATGTAAAAATTGAAAGATACGCTAAAAACCCTAGAAATAGGCCTCGGATGTTAGATCAGATTTTTGGACAACGAAAATTGCAAAGAAAAAGGTACATGAATATTGGAACATGGAATGTTCAAGGCTTCAGAAATAAGCAACAAGAAGTGTTACTTGAAATCGAAGAAAGAAAGCTGGACGTAACAATACTCTCGGAAACCAAAAAGAAGGGCAACGGATGTGAAAAGTTGAAAAGGTATATCCACTGCTACAGCGGGGTAGATAAGTCATCCCACGCAAAAGCAGGAGTATCGATAATTATTCACGAAAAACTGAAACAACAAATAAAGTCATGGGAGAGTATTAATGAACGTATAATCAAAATGACCCTTCAAATTAAAGGACGAACTATAGTGGTTATAGGAATTTATGCTCCAAATGAAGACGAAACAGTAGCGGTAAAAGACAATTTTGACGCAATTTTAAGAGATGTGTTAGATCAAATCCCTAACCGATGCGAAATCATTATGGCAGGTGACTTTAACAGTAGAGTAGGCCAAGAAGAAAACAGTGCAGTAGTAGGACGACATGGAGAACCTACAAGAAATAATAATGGCGAAAGACTGATAGATCTGTGCGAACAATACAATTTAAGAATCACAAACACCTTCTATGCACACAAAGATATACACAAATATACCTGGAAACACCGCTCTAGAGACCAGAAATCCATCATCGACTATATTATAATGAGACAAAAACCAACACTAACAGTTTTAGACGTTAGGGTAAAGAGAGGAGCTGACTGTGGAAGTGATCATTACCTAGTAATCGGAAATATGACCATACCGAGATTGGGAAAATACGAAACAGCAAATGTAAATAAGAACGTAACAACAAATAAAGAGCACTATAATCTACAAAGTCTAGAAGATAACAGCGTGCAGTATTTATACCAAAGAAGGTTAGATGGAAAACTGGTAATAGAAAATAGAACAATAGAAGAAGAATACAAGCACATAGTACACAGTATTAAAGAAGCAGCAGAAGAGGCAATAGGCACTCAAAGACGCGCAAAACAAAAACCATATTGGTGGGATGAGGGAATAGATGAAATGATAAAGAAGAAAAAAGAAGCATACCTAACATATCTAGATAAAAAAGACGACCCCTCTAAAGAAATATATAAAAACCTAAATAAACTGGTGAAGACGGAAGTAACAAAAAGGAAAAATAGATCTTGGGAAAAGAAATGCGAATACATAGAACAAATGATTGGAGGATCGAAAAGTTCAGAAGCCTGGAGAACGCTAAAATCTATGAAAACGTCAACCAACAATAAATTAGATTTAAGTAACATAACAGAAAAAGACTGGGTAGACTACTTTAAACAGTTACTACAAGAAGGACGACAAAATTTTCAATACGAAAATGCAAACAGAGACATACGATCAGAATTCATTGAATTGAACATGACAAATATCGTAGAAGCGATAAGATCTTTTAAACTTAAAAAAGCGCCAGGCCCAGGAAACATCTCACCAGAATTTATTAAATACGGCTCAGCTAAACTGTGGGAAATGCTCAAAGATCTGTTCCAACGATGCCTGAATGGAGAAGAGACCCCGTTAGAATGGCGTGAGGCCTATATAACCCCAATATACAAAAAAGGAGCACGAAACAATGTCAGAAACTATAGAGGAATTGCTGTCATCCCCACTATAGGACGACTGTACTCCCGAATACTTAGAAACCTCATAGAAGAAGACATTCGTATGAAACAACCAGAAGAACAATGCGGATTCAGAGCTGGAAGATCGACTATAGATAATCTATTTACACTTAAAATATTAATCGAAAAGCGACAACAAAGAAACAAAGAAACACATATAGCCCTGATAGATCTTGAAAAGGCATATGATAACGTGCCGATAAATAATTTATGGAGTGAAATGCAAAACATGGAAATAAAACCTTCGTTAATAATAGCAACTCAAAAGTGGTATGTAAACAACACCGCATCAATTAAAATAGGTGGCAAACTTAGTGAGAAATTCAACACTACGAAAGGGCTACGACAGGGATGTTGTTTATCACCTACGCTGTTTAAAATATATCTGGATCGATCTCTACAAAAGTGGCAAAGACAATGCAGAAATATGGGAATACAAATAGATGAGGATATTCTCTATACACTATTCTTCGCTGATGACCAACTGGTGGTAGCAGAAGATATAGACGACCTCAGCTATATGGTTAGGAAACTACAAACAGCGTACGAAGAATGTGGACTGACAATGAACTTACAAAAATGCGAATATCTCTCAGTGGGGAAAAATACAGTCGAAGACCTGACATTGGAGAGTGACAAAATCAAAGGAACAAATAGAGTAAAATACCTAGGAGTAGTGTTTACAAAAGACGGAAATAGCCATGAAGAAATAAATACAAGAATAAACAAAGGCAGAAACATTACCAAATGCCTAAACTCCATTCTCTGGATAAAAAAATCACAAGAACGACGAAAAAACGAATATATAAGACGATGGTTGAGCCGGTGGTAACATACGGAGCAGAGATATGGGACACTAGTAAAAGAAACAGGAAAAAATTACAAGCTACCGAGATGGATTTTATGAGAAGAAGCTGTAGATTGACAAGGATGGACAGAATCCGCAATGAAGAAATAAAACGTAGAATGGAGCAAGAAAAAGACATTATAGATGAAGTCCAGAAAAAACAACTAACTTGGTTCGGTCATGTAAACAGAATGGCAGACGAGAGGTGGCCAAAGAAAATATTAAAATGGATCCCAACCGAAAGAAGGAAAAGAGGGCGTCCAAGAAGAAGCTGGCGAGATGACGTGAATGAAGCCATGGAAGGAAGACAGCTAAATGAAGCCGACACCCGAGATAGGAAACGATGGAAACTAGGGACAGGAAAACAACGACAGTTGTAAACAACCTGTACTATATATAATATATATATATATATATTTATATATATAATATAATATATAATATATATTATTATATAATATATATATATATATATATATATATATATATAATTTATAATATAATATATCTACAAGCTTTTTATGTTGAACTTTATCAAATGCCTTTTCAAAGTCTACAAAACATAAGTACATATCCTGATTCATGTCCATGCATCTCTGAGCCAGCACATTCAAGCCGAACAAAGCATCTCTTGTACTCATACCATTTCTAAAGCCAAATTGTGTGTAACTAATCTCATATTCAATAGTTTTAACAATTCTGTTGTGAATTATTTTCAAATATGTTTTAAGTGTGTGACTCATTAAAGCTATTGTTCTGTGGTCTGAGCAAGTTGTTGAACTTGGTTTTTTATGAATTGCTACAAAGGTTGATTAAATAGATTATAATATACAATTTTATGTTGATTAAAACCTTATCATATAGGTTTAGCTTTCTTCTTTCACATATGTAGCAGTTAAGTCTATAAAGACAACTGGTGTTTTTGGATTGGAAACCAGTCTTTATGTATATACTAAGTCTTATGGTAAGACGACTAAACAAGGATAGATATGATTTAAATAAATAAAAAAAAAACAAAAAAGGTACTCACCGTTTTAATGGTTTTTTGTATTCTGGAGTTTGTAATCGTGTTTTTATAACATCAAGTGGTTGAAGGAGAAAAGAACAAATTATTGATGCTACTGAACCAGTCATAAATATTTTAAAAGCTAGGGTAACCTAAAAATTATGATATTTATTTTTTATTTCTAATTCAATACATCATTCATAGTCAGTTGTTTGCTCAAAAATATAAAATATTCCTTTATTAATTGTGGAAATATCAAAATAGTGAGAAAAACTACACTGAATGTAAAAAAAAGTCAGCATGGTTATTTCTGAACTATATTTTTCTTTTCGTTTGATTAAAACAACAATGCAATCATAGATGGCCCATAAATATATTTACCAGAGTATTCTTTCTTGTTCAAGTTAGGCCACGTAATGTAGAATGTATATAACTCTACTATATGGTAGAAAATATTGGTTATAGTCTCTTTGGCTGTTTTACCTTTTTTCTTGGTTTCTTGGATTGCACAAATGTCTATGTTTTTATTTATCAATTCTTCTATTATCTCTTGGTCTTTTTTGTTGAAAGAAGTAATGTTTCATGTTGCTAATCTGAATGTGGGCTTATTTTCCTTCTCGGTTTCCTTTTCTGTGCGTGGTTAATCATCTTAGGTTTCATCTAGTTCCGAGACTTTATATCGGTTCTTTGAGCCTTGATTTCTTTTACTATGGGTAGGATGGTAAAAATCACAGAAGATCAACTCTACGTCAACCAATCCCCTGTAGAAAGAGTGACGCACTACAACTACCTCGTCACCATAATAAATGAAGAATGGACCAACAACCAGGAGATTAGAGCACGCATCGGAAAAGCTAGATCCACCTTCAATCGGATGGGGGCCTTCTTCAAGAGTCACAACCTCTCTCTTGATACAAAAGTAAGAATGCTGCGATGCTACGTCTTCTCTGTCCTTTTTTATGGTGTTGAATCGTGGACCTTGAACGAAGATATGTGCAGAAAACTGGAAGCATTTGAGATGTGGCTATATCGGAGAATACTTAAGATCCCGTGGACTGACCGAGTCACAAATGAGGAGGTCCTTAGAAGAATGAATAAGAACCGAGAGGTACTGACCACCATCAAATCTCGAAAGTTACAATTCTTCGGACATATTATGCGAAATGAATCCAGATATGCTCTCCTTCAAGCCATCCTGCAAGGAAAAATATTTGGAAAACGAGGTCCAGGAAGAAGAAGAACATCTTGGTTAAAGAACCTCAGAATCTGGTTCAATACAACATCTGTGCAGCTTTTCCGCGCTGCTGCAGATAAGATAAAGATTGCCATGATGATCGCCAACATTCGTAACGGATAGGCACATCAAGTAGAAGAAGGATGGTAATCTGGCCCATCAACCCTTCTCTTTTATCCTGGCTTGGGACCGGCTATGGGCATGTTTAGGCTTTAAGAACAAATATTAATAAGCAATACCTTTTCTATTATGTAAATTTACCAATAATTGTGGATTATTTTTGAATTAAAGTTTCTAATAACTGTAGCCTGTTACAGCGTTATAGGGGAGAGTCCCACAGTACCGACCGGCATACAGTACCGGCCAGTTGAAAGTTCTACAAACCTATAATAGATGGTACGGTGATGATTATCGGTATTAGTGCGAGACACTCCTATAAGTACAAGCCCAGCGCGGTGTCAACTTGTCGCGACAGGATTCTTGTCAGTGCAAAGATTTGTGTTGGGCATCATAGACGTACACTGCATATTTAAAATTCTGTTGGTGATTTTCAACATTTAAAGATCCAGTTTAAAACAAATAACTCCTGGTATGTATAGTGTACTTATATAACTATAAAAAAGTATACTTTAAATCAATATTTGTGCGTTTGTTTTTACCTGTAAACAAACTTTTTTTTTTTCGTTTCCTCCAGTACCGGCCACTGCATTGTCCTGCAGTACCGGCCAATAATAAAGTTCGTTTTTAAAAGATTTCTTTTACTTACAGGTACGCAAAAATGCCAAGTGATAAAAATAATGTTCATGTGAGGCAAAAAAAGGGCAGCTGGGATCCTGCGAACATGCGAAAAGCCGTGGAAAAGGTACTGAATAATGAGATGAGTGCACGCCAAGCTGCCGAACGCTATCAGATACCACGAACTACATTGAATGACAGAGTAAGTGCTATTAAAAATAATAAAGAGATATCCATTGAGCCAGTTATGGGTCGTTTTCACAATACTTTTTCACCTGAACATGAAGAAACATTGGCGACACATGTTAAAGACTTGGCCAATAGACTAATGCCTTTAAACAGGCAAGAATTTTTACGTCTTGCTTTTCAACTGGCAGAGAAGTTGAAGTTACCTCACCAGTTTAATAAAGAAAAAGAAATGGCAGGGAAAAACTATTATTATTCTTTTATGAAAAGACATAGTGATTTATCATTGCGGAGTGCTGAATCAACGAGCTTAATGAGAGCAGTAGGATTTAACAGACCTCAGGTTGAGCGTTTCTTTGATGGTTTAGAGACTTTGATACAGAGGTTTAAATTCACTCCTTATAAAATATGGAATTGCGACGAGACTGGTGTCAGCATTGTCCAAAAACATGCCAAAGTTTTAGCTACTAAAAACCAAAAACAAGTAGGAAAACTGACTTCAGCAGAACGTGGAAAGAACGTGACGGTGCTTTTTGCAATGAGCGCTGGAGGTCAATTTGTTCCACCATATTTTATATTTCCACGAGTCCGAATGAATGAAAGACTAATGGTTAACGCCCCAAATGAGAGCGTAGGCGAAGCTCAGCCAAACGGCTGGATGAATGCCGAATTATTTTTAAAATGGATGCATCATTTTGTGCAGTATTCTAATCCTACAGCCGAGAATCCAGTTCTCCTGATTTTAGATGGACATGCGAGTCATAAGGACTTAGATGTTATTGAATTTGCCCGGAAAAATAACATCCATATGCTTAGCACCCCACCACATACGACCCATAAGCTACAGCCACTGGATCGTACGTTCATGAAGCCATTTAAATCTGCTTATAATAATGCATGTGACTTGTGGATGAGATTAAATCCCGGTATTAGAATCAGTGAATACGAGATTGCTGGCTTAGTTGCTTCAGCTTTTAATCGAGTTTCTCGAATGGAAATCGCAGTTAGTGGCTTTCGTTGCACAGGCATACACCCCTTTGATAAAAATGTCTTTAATGATTTGGACTTTATTTGTTCTAACATAACCAACATTACAGAACAACAATCAACGTCAGAATCATTGCCTTCATCTTCCCAACTGCTAGAAGCAACACCTTCAACATCAGAACCGTTGCCTTCATCTTCCCAACTGCTAGAACCAACATCTACTACTCCTGCTCCTGATCTCGTAGCCCATATTACAAATTCTGTGCATTCCGACAACCAAACTACTCTTGCTAATGGAGAATCACAAATTGCTTTTTTGCGGCAATTAGAATCTCAAGAAGAAGCTACAATTGACCTATCCACAGACAATTTTAAAGCTGCACTTACAGAACTCTCACCGGTTCCTGATGCTTCTAAAAGAAGAGCAACTGCCCGGCGTCGTAAAGCTGAAAAAAGCGAAATTATAACTGGTTCTCCATACAAAAAAATGCTGGAAGAGAAAAAAGCAGGCAAAACAAGCGTCGAATCACTTAAACGAGGGAAGAATTTACTTGTGGAAAATGACGTTAACAAAAAAAATAAGGTCTCAGGAAAATATGTTCAAAAAGGTAAAAGCTTGTTGTCAGGAAGATATGTTAGTAAGAAAAGTAGGAAAAATAAAGATGAAAACCTACCTCCTCCTAGCAGACCGGTTGAAGAAGAGACAGTTTGTCCTTTGTGCACTGAATCTCAAGAAGAGGATTAAACATGTACCTTTTAGCATTTTGATTTTTTTGTTGATAAACCTTAAGGTGACGGTACTGTAGGACTCTCCCCTACGTCTACAATTCTTGGCAAGAAAATAAACGTATTTGAATGTGTAAAATAACATTTAAAGATGCAAAGAACATAGAAAAACCTGGAAAGTATGTAGATATGGAACACTCACAGTTCTTACTAGAATAATTGCTGGAAAACAACGGATGATATGAGCGGGACATTAGCAATAATTTGATATACATGAACAGAAAAGATGTGTTATTGGGTAATATTATAAAGTGAAGCAGAGGACTACCAAGAAAGAACCGATTGGAAGTAATAAAAGACAACGGAAAATGAGATGTGGAAACAAGAAGCGAGTAATAAACAAGTCTGGCAAAATATAAACCATTTACACAAAAACATCGAAAAGTGTCTACATAAAATATGAATTTACCTGATTTGATACTTTTCTTTGATTGCTCTCATTGCTCTGAGGATTTAAATTAGTCATAACTGCCATCTTTTCTACAAATTCATTTTAAACATTCTAAAAGTGTTAATATTTCAACATTTATTAAACATTCCGAACACCCGAAAATTGATTGTATATTCACGTCATATTTATATAAAAATTTGAGCAATAATTTGACAATAGATTAAGACAGAAACGTCTCAAACTTCATCATATATTATTCAATAATTATTTACACATTATTATAAAGAAAACGTATTTAGTACCAACTAAATTTTGAATTTTCTCTCCTATTCATATTTCTGTTAAATCGCACTGTATTTCTAATCAGATCACCCCGTAAAAATAGTCCTAATGGAAATTGATTTTTCATCCTGTATTAGAGAATAGAGCCTAAGGGAGGCAACCACCAAAACACTGGACATCATCGTGAATATTCGGCGGATCTCCCCTTCTTCGGCGTCTTTCGGATAAGGCGTTCCACTCAGTTTTAGAGATGGAAGTAACAGTTATTAAAAGTGGTATTTTATATATTTATCTAGGGTTTTGTAGAGGGTGAAATTTTTGAACTGAATAAATTTGGACACCTTTGAATGCAATTGCATTATGTATATACCAATGACTAAAACCATTTTTGAAAGATTTATACTAAAAATTTACTATTTAATTAACTATATTATTTAAAATTTAGAGAGCTGCACAAAATATTACAAACAAAACTACAATTATTCGAACGTTCATATATTAAATACTTTCTTTTCTATTACATATTATTATATTATGTTTCTATAAGCCCTTCTTTACGATTTTAGATTTATTTGTTCTATTCATAAATTTCTTCTTTTCAGTTGATTCTAGGTATTCCTTGTCTACATTTTCCTCTTGCTTTTCTTTCCAAAACTAGTTTTCATACCACAATAAGTACAATTTGTGTTTGGAAAAAGGAAAAACAGTGAGGAATGAATAAGAAAGAAGACATAAAAAGCTGATTGCTGAAAGGATAAGTATAAAATGTCTGTGGTTACGATCTGATAAAATCTAGGATAAGTACTTCAAAAATTAACAAAGAAAGAAATACTACAATATTACAGATTTTAATAATTATAAATAAATTTTATTAATATCAATTCAAGAAAAAATATAAGGCTATTATTTAAAAGTACTTTCCAGCAAAAACTTTATTCTAGAATATTAGTTTGGATATAGACATGAACATAAAACTCTAGAACATGTCCACAGGTTAATTAAATATATTAGCAGCAACTTCCGTATCGCCATTTATTGATATAAGCCTGTCCGTAAAATCTGTCTACTTTCCAAACTAAAAACCATAATGTTTCGTTAGATCTAAATGTGCCTATCTTCTAGAGATGTTGGCGACCACATTGACCCATCTTATTCTATTCACAGCAGCTCGAAATAGATCAGTTGACGTTAGACCAGTCCATTTCCTAAGATTAGCCAGCCAGGATATACGCCTACGTCCAGGACCTCTCTTACCCTCAATCTTACCTTGTAGAATCAACTGTAAAAGTCGGTATTTATTATTACGCATGATGAGCCGAAGTAAGCCAATTTTCTGTTCTTTACGGTGTTAATAATCTCTTTGTCTTTTCTTAGCCTCTGGATAATAGTTATAAGTAGATGTGGGTCACTTGATTCCAGTGTCGCTTGGTTTCACAATAGCGGTTGAGGCCAAACCGCGGGGCGGGTGTCGGGATAGGGTGTGTGATTAGAGCAAAACCACAGGGTTGTGTGTCGAGATCTGATTTGTGGATGGATAAGGTTGCAATTATTGGATAAACACAGGCGTTCCCCATACAAGCGTCTAATAGTATATAATAAAAGGGCTGAGGTACGTGCTTGATGACAGCGTTGAGTTGATGATCGCATGACGCTTGAGTCAGCGTCATGTCAGCGTTGAGTCAGCGTCATGACTGCGTCGAGTCAGCGTCATGACAGTGTCGAGTCAGCGTCATGTCAGCGTCGAGACAGCGTCGATATCTTGTGACGTCAGAGTATCCAATAATTGCAAACTTATCCATCCACACACCTTATCTCGACACACAACCCTGCGGTTTGGCGCTAACCACACACCCTATCCCGCCCCGCGGTTTGGCCACAACCGCTATTGTGGAACCAAGCGACACTGGAATCAAGTGACCCACATCTACTGTTATATTACTTGTGTGGTGTATATATGAGATCCTCAACAGACGACGGTAACACCACATTTCTAATGTGTCTAATCGTTTTATCACATCTTCTGTAACGCTCCAGCTTTCTACTCTATAGAGGAGGACACTAAAAACGTAACATCTAAGATTTTTTATACGTATATTGGTAATTAAAAAGTTGCAGAGAATCTTCCTAAGGCTATTGAAAGAGCTTATGGCTTTTTCATTACGGTTTTTATTTCGTAGCTATGATCTCAAGTATCCTTAATATTGCCGCCAAAGTAGCATATTTATTGTAATGTATGCGTTTATGTTGGTGTTCTTACTAATGATCATTATTTTTGTCTTCTTGCAATTTAGTTTTAGGCCGTATTTGTTACATGTTTCTACAACGTTATCCATCATCCTTTGGAGCCCCTGCGCACTATCTGCCAGCAACACTGTATCGTCTGCATATCTAATATTGTTTATAAGTTGGCCATTTACAGCAATCCCATCTTCTGATTCGTCCAAGGCCTCTCTAAAGATGTTTTTAGAGTATATGTTAAATAATGCCGGTGACAATATGCAACCCTGTCTAACTCCTTTTTCGACTGTGAAGATCTCGGACAGTTCATTTTCTAATCGCACTGTTGCTTTTTGTTGGAGATATAAGTTTGAGATCAGTCTTATATCCTTACCATCGAGTCCTGATGTTTTTAGGATATCGATTAGTTTCTCATGTGGGACTTTATCAAATGCCTTCTCGAAATCAATGAAACATGCATACACATCGCAGTTGACATCCCTGGCTCTCTGTATTAGAACTTGCAAACTAAAAAGTGCTTCCTCGTTCCGAGTCCTGCTCTGAATCCAAATTGAACTTCACTCAGGTGTTCTTCTAATTTGGTGTATATGCGCGAGTGAATGATAGTAAGGAGTACTTTAAGTACATGGCTCATCAAACTAATTAATCTATGTTCTTCACATTTTCTAGCGTTGGCTTTTTTAGGAAGTGGAATGAATATTGATAGTAGCCAGTCTTTTGGTAAGTAACCAGTCTCGTAGATGTTGTTAAATAGCTTCGTAAGAGCTGTGATTTGGTGTGCCTCTAATAGCTTTAAAATTTCACCATGCACCTCATCAGGTCCTGGTGATTTCCCATCTTTAATCCGCTTAATGGCCATAGTTACTTCTTCGTTTGTTATTTCTGGGCCGTAGGGATTGTTTATTTCAGTCGGACTTCGTGCTGCATCTTCAAATAATTCTTGCATATATTCTTTCCATCTTTGTAATTATTTATCTTCAATGGTAGTCAAAATCTGGCCTTCAGTGTCTACAATTATGCCTGTATTGGGTTGTTTTCTGATGTTCTGTACTTCTTTAATTTTTTTTTGTGCATATGTAAATCGTCGTTTGGGTTGTAGTGTTTCAATTTCCGTACATTTTTTACGTACAACTTTTCTATTTTTGATTTTAGATAATCATGCGAAATTATGGTAAATAGATGTCTTCATTTCGTTCCACTGTAAAAATTCTTTTTAATCCCTATTGTTAGAGTACGCGCAAGCACTCTTGACCACGGCGCAGTAGATGAAATTTGGTTTAGTCACCACTTCCGTGTGAAACGCATTGTACTATGCACTGTATAATTCCATTTACAATAGAACCTTTCTGCCTTTACGTGAATTTGACTCGGCCTTCGCGCAGCTCCATGGTCAAGAGTGCTTGCGCGCACTATACCTTTTTCTGGATGTCATTTTCTTTTAGTAGTCTTATATCCATCTTGGCCTTCACTTTCTTATGAATTATTTTGATTTGTATGTTGATATTTGCAACCAATAGACTATGATCTGATCTGATAGAAGATATCTACTGCTGAATATGTTTTTAAATTGATATGAAAGGTTGAATGCTCGATTAAATGAACTTTGATCAAATAAAAGGCAGATATCGAGCACAGTTTTATTAATTTAATCTTGCCCAAGTACTTTCGCTCCCTAGAGCATCTTCAGGGGCATTTCGTCAATTGTGGCCTATCCAACAAGAATAAAATGTTATAAACATAAAATTGTACATCACACTACACTACACAAGGACAAACACTTTAACATTTTTAAAATAGGCGAAGCTACATTAGGTACGGAAACCGGAGACAGAATCTGATTCTGTCTCCGGTAATGTTTGTATAATGTTCAATGTAAAGAGTACAGGAAAACCCATCTAAATAGAGTTTATGGAAAGAACTAGCCCAGATACTTCAAATACCAGGTAATACAATAACACAAATTCTAACTAGTATCAAAAATATTTATTTATATTATTTTACATTGTTGTAATTCATTAATTTTCTCGATAATGTTGTTCCTGCCATGCTACAGCACCGGGTCTATAAAGAGATCTATATTACCTAGATATTGTTTTGAACATTTCCTCTGTTGGTTGTGGCATTACCAAAGTGAGCATTCTTGTAATAATGGATTCAGCAACTTGCCTTATTATTATACTAATCCATGAATGACATATTCTAAACTGAAACGCCAACGATTTAAAAGATTCTCCTCTAGCCAAAAACTTAAAAAATAACAGTCTAGTAATTTATGACATATATTTATAGACAATGATTGCAGCAAGAGGTGGTGATATGTAAGAGATTATTACATAAAAAGACGAGGCAAGCCTAGCACGGGTTCATCTGGGGAAGCAGCGAAGAAAAGATCGGTCCAGCTATCATTCTTAGATAGTATCTCTTCGGCCAAGAGAAGGTAAATTTATATTTCCTTATTTTACTGATAATAAAATATTTTTATTTTATTTTTAGTACTCTCAGCAATATAGAGCAGTCTGAATCTCAACAGAGTGTGGAAAATAGCACAGCTCATTGTAGAAATGAAGACGACTACATGGAGCAACAACCGTCTGAACTACTTATTACCGCAGATGAAACTAGCAACAACATTTTAAATATCCAAGAAGCCGAAGCTGAAATTGTAAAAACTCCAAGAGTTAATAAAC